AAAAAAAAAAAAAAAGAAACAAAAACAAAGAAAGGCCATTGGAGACACTGGAGTCAAGCCTGTCACCTCTTCCTTTATTCCCCATCCCTGAAAAGGAGCTAAAAAGCAATTTATCCTCCAGGTGTCTAGGCAGGCATCCCAGCAACCTCAGAGAATGTTCCTGGTGCAAGACGAAGATGAGCCTCAGTGAATAGTTGCAAGAAGATTGATTTAGCAGAAGGAGGCTTAGCTTTAGCTTGAGGACGGCTGCTGACTTAGAGAGCGATGGAGTCTAATCAGAGACTAAGCTTCTTTGTGCCTTAGTCTTCCTTATCAGTCTTTCCCTAACCCCTTTCAGAGCTGACAGGAGAGTAAAAGATTAGCGCACACCAAAGAACTTTGTGCAAGAGGGACAAAACTTGAGAGTACAATATAAACACAAGATAGCACATGAGCTTCAGTAGGAGGAAAAACTAGAGGGGATTTTTTCAGGGACTTTAGCTGAGGGTGTGGGAAAGGTGACTCCAAGAAATCTTTTACCCTGTCACTTAGTTCTCAGCCCTGGAGTCATAATCCTCTTCCTTTAAAATAATGATGAAACAGCCTTTAGGATTATGACATCCTAGCCTTCATGCCCATCACTTGCTCATCTGTTTCCCATCTGCCTCTTTGGTTATCTGTCATGTAATTTTCTAAATCTATTTTCCAGAGTCCCTGCTTCATCACTAGGCTCTCACAGACAGTTTGGGAGGCCCATAGGACAATATTTTGGTATGTGGGCTGCTGATGTGGATCAGAAGCTCCTAGAAATACCACACGGTCACCTTTTCATCTTAAATCCAGGATAGGAAAATGGGTGTTTGAAATGTTCATATAGGAGATAAAGTTGGGGTTTGAAACCAGCATGCCTGTTACTAATTTGCCAGCTGATAAGATCACAGGAATGGTAAAAAAAAGAGAGATTGGGTCTCCTGAGCCTCAGAGAGAGGAAAAGAGACAAGCAGGTATGGGATCTTTACTCCAAGTGAGTGGGTTGAGTTTGGATGCTTAAAGGACACCCCGAATCTGTGGTATGATTAGAGCCGGTTTAGTTGTCTAGTGAAGGACTTTCAACTTTATTCAAATACTTGGGTGCCTACAGGTTGTCAGCCTATGCTTTAGGTGAATGGGGGATCTGAAGAGAAATCAGGGCCTGGTTCTTGGCCTCTGGCTGTTTATTTTCTGGAAGTTACAGAATCAATAATCCTAGAGAAAGGGTGCTTAGTAGTGGAAGAGTACAAAGTACTGGGGAAACTGAGAAAATTCTTAGATATTTCTTCCAGGTGCTCCCGAAAACTTAGTGATGTGGGGGCAGCAGGCCCCTGACAGATGAGACAGATTTCAAGCCCAACACGTGCAAAACCTCAGAGGAGGGAAGGCCCAGAATGTGGGTGGGAAATGGTGTGTAGCATGGTTGTCCCTGATCTAGTGACCTTGAGGAAGAGTAAAGGAAATGTAAATGGGACAAGACCATGAAAGCTTTGACACCTATCTTTGGAAGGGAGTCTTTGAAGGTGTTTAACTTAGAAATGGTAAGATCATTTAAAATGATGTGTTGTGGCTCAATATATATTGATTTGGAAAGATGTTTATAGTATAAGGTAAAATGCATAGCAAGGGTGGCGCCCGTGGCTCAAAGGAGTAGGGTGCCAGCCCCATATATTGGAGGTGGCGGGTTCAAACCCAGCCCCAGCCAAAAAAAAAAAAAAACCCCACAAAACCAAATAGCGAGACAATACACTGTGATCTCATTTTTTAAAATTTTTAAGTATATATATATGTGTGTGTGTGTGTGTGTGTGTATAGTAAAATCTAAAATATCTCTTAACATATTAACAGTTATCTCTGGGTGTTTGGATTTTGAAGGTTTTTTTTTATTTGTTTATAATTTAGGTGTCCTCAAACTATGGCCCACAGGCCACATGCGGCCCGCCTAGGACATTTATCCGGCCCGCCGGGTGTTTTTGCCGCAGCTGCCTGTCCTGCTTAGCAGCCGACTTGTCCCGGGGCCCGCAGTCCGGCCCTCCAACAGTCTGAGGGACAGTGAACTGGCCCCCTGTTTATAAAGTTTGAGGACCCCTGGTTTATATGTATGTTTCCTGACCTTTCTATAATTTGCACTGCTTTTGTAACTATAAATTGTTTTCAACTTATTTTAAAGGAGCATATATTATATGATGGCTAAGGGAGATAACCTAGAAATATGCCAGGGATTAGATAATAACAGAGTGAACATTGGCCATGTGGTAACATTTATGATATCCAAATTGGAGAGGAATCCTTCAGATGATTAATAATATGGGAATGGCTAAGCACAGTAGTGTATATGAGATTGGTGTAAAATCATGTAGTCTTTTAAAATGACAAATATGTAGATTGTTGATACTTGGAAATGGGTATATGAAATGGGTGGAACCAGGCAGAATATAATGTATTACATTTCATATTGATTACAACAATGTGTTGTAGACTAGGCGCCTGCCACGTGCTCCAGGGCTGGTGGGTTCCATCTGGGCCTTTGGCCTACTAAACAAGCAAACAAACAAACAAAAAAAATAGCCAGGCCTTGTGGTGGGTGCCTGTAGTCCCAGCTACTAGGGAGGCTGTGGCAAGAGAATCCCTTGAGCCCAAGAGTTAACGGTTGCTATGAGCTGTGATGCCATAGCACTCTACCGAGGATGACAAAGTGAGACTCTGTCTCAATAAAAAACAAAAAAAAAATGTGTTGTAATGTGGAAATGTATATATACAAATACATAAATGAATTTGGAGAATGGAGATAGCATTGTTAGTCTTTTTATTATAAAATATAAATAAATTTTTGCCATTTTATTTATTTATTTATTTTATTTATTTATTTTTTGACAGATCCTCAAGCTGTCCCCCTGGGCAGAGTGCGGTGGCATCACAGCTCACAGCAACCTCCAACTCCTGGGCTCAAGCGAGTCTCTGCCTCCACCTCCCAAGTAGCTGGGACCACAGGTGCCCGCCACAACACCCGGCTATTTTTTGGTTGCAGCCGTCATTGTTTGGCGGGTCCGGGCTGGGGATTCAAACCCGCCACCTTAGGTGTACGTGGCTGGCGCCTTAGCTGGTTTAACTATAGGCGCCGAGCCTATTTATTTATTTTTGAGATACAGTCTTAAGCTGTCTACCTGGGCAGAGTACCATGGCATCACAGCTCACAACCACCTCCAACTCTTGGGCTTAAGCGATTCTGTTGCCTCAGCCTCCCAAGTAGCTGGAGCTACAGGCGCCCGGCTGTTTTTTGGTTGTAGTTGTCATTGTTGTTTGGCAGGCCTGCTCCAGTGTATGTGTTTGATGCCCTAGCAGCTGAGCTACAGGTGGTGAGCCAAATTTTTGTCATTTTAAACATTTTATGTTCAGTGGCAGTACGTACATTCACAGTGTTCTGCAACTGTAACCACTATCCATTTCCAGAACTTTTTCATCATCCCAAATAGAAACTCAGTATCCATTATAAAAATAACTCCCACTTTCCCCTCCTCCTAAGTTCCTGGTAACATCTGTTCTATTTTTTTTCTCTATGAATTTGCCTATTCTGTGTACCTCATATAAGTGGAATCATACAATATTTGTCCTTTTGTGTCTGGCTTATTTCACTTAGCATCATCTGTGTTATAGCATGTGTCCGAATACCCCTCCTTATTAAGACTGAATAATATTCCATCATATGGATAGACTAGACCATATTTTGTTTATCCAATTCATCCCTCCTTGGATGCGTGGGTTGTTTCTACCTTTTGGCTGTTGCGAATAATACTGCTGTGAACATGGGTGCACAAAAGGTCTCTTTCAGTCCCGTTTTCAATTCTTTGGGGGTATACACCTAAAGGTAGATTTACTGGATCATATGGTAATTCTATGTTTAACTTTTGGGGGGAACTGCCAACCCATTAGAGCCTTTTTAATATAAAGCTCTTCAAGTTTATTTATACCTACAGTCCCCATTTCTTTTTGCTGTGCTTAATATACATAGGAATTACCAAGGGATTACTACAGATGTGAAAGCATTTTGTTCTGTTTAAAGGAAAGAGCCTTGATAGATCTTAAGATAGTAGAGTGTTTTGAATGTGGCCATGGAAAACGGAGTCAACTCAAATGATTGAAACTTCTAAACAATTCCGGAGCCCTTATATTTTATCAACAATTTCAACTTTTACCTTCTTCCAAAAAGCTTTAACCAGGGTAAAAATAAAATGAATGGATTTACAATTGCCTTTTTTTTTTTTTTTCTGGTCCCATTTAGATAGAAGTCAGAGATATGGGACATAATCAGAAGACTTGGGTATTTTCCGAGCATGGATTTCTCAATCCTGGATAGTTGAAAATATCATTCTTATGTCTCACTCACCAAGGTTCCCTGGGTATTAACCAGCCCTGAAGAATTACGAAGAGGCCTTCAGTTAAAAAGTTAAATTTGTGCAGTGCCTAGGAGCCCTGCAATCATGCTGGAGGGAGGAAGAGGGGCCCCAGAGATAAAAGATGGAAGAAAACTTGGGTTTTGTCCTCTTAGAGTGGCCTCTTTAATATGGTAAGTAGTGCTGTTCTCAGGAAACTCAATGTAGAGACCTAGGAGTTCGCAGTTCATTAGGAATAGGAAAAGGATATAGGACATTTATAAAGTGACCCCTAAGTCCAACATAAAATGTATAAATTGTGTACCATGATAAAGTCTAACTGGTTAAGTTAGGAAAGGTCTTGTCAGACCTATTGTGCTTTTGTAGGCCACTTCAAATTCTTTCAGGAGGGAAGTCGATCTAAGCAAAGACGTGGCAGTCAGGCTCCCTAGAAAAGAGATTAGGAGATCGCATCTCCTTCCATTCTGATGTCAAGGTATGTGGGCTCTGCTCTCTTCCAGCTAGTGTCCCGTGTTCTGTGGCCCCAGAAAAGTCAGTGTGTAGGCCTCAGCCACCCCAGGTCCGACGTACATTCTCCCTGGACACCATCCTCAGCTCTTACCTTCTGGGCCAGTGGCCACGAGATGCTGATGGGGCCTTCACGTGCTGTACCAATGACAAGGCCACCCAGGTAATGAAGCTCTCTCCTAGTGGGACAGGGGTAAGGGTGGGTTGGGAGGGTTGGCTGAAAGGGCCTTTGGTCTACTTATCAACTCTGAATCATTGCAACAATTGTCTTGGGTTGTTTTTTTTTTAATACGTATTTACCATGTAGTGTTTCATCTTCTAATGTTTGCCACCTTATTTTTCTTAATATATGTAGGCAAATGAGTTTGCATTCCCACCAACTAGTGGAAGAGAGGAGTCAGTCTGGGTCTTTCAGTTGGCTTTGAGTATTTGTGTGTGGGTAATCAACAATTGACTTTGGAACTTATTCTGGTTTTTTAAAAATGAGATTTACCGGCTCGGTGCCTGTGGCTCAAGCGGCTAGGGCGCCAGCCACATACACCTAAGGTGGCGGGTTCAAATCCCCAGCCCGGGCCCGCCAAACAACAATGATGGCTGCAACCAAAAAATGGCCAGGCGT